AAAAAAAAAAAAAAAAAAAAATTAAAAAAAAGAATGTGCATACAGTATACGTATATACATTAGTCTCACGACGAAGTTGCAAACGTTCAAGGCCGATGCAAATGACCATCCGCCTGATAATCTAAAGTGGGCTTTTAAACAAGCGCATCCAGCGCGCGCGGTGAATGGAGACACGCAATTGGTACTTTGTCGCAAGTGCAACGTGATTCCATCGTAAACACGCGTCGTCTATTTTCGTTGCGCAGCGTTGCGAATCAAAACACGTGACACACACGCGACCAAGGCGTTCGCTCTACACATTTCCGTGTGTATGAATTATATGATGACGAATTATATAAATCTATCTTATCGTAATGGCAATTCAGCTTGTCCTCGCATGCCGTCGACGAATGCAACAATGCGCATTTACAAATACTTTTAGTTTGTTTTGAGAGAGTTTTAACGCCGCTTCTGTGCGTGAAACACGCCGTGAAATGTTTAAGTGTGACATTCCTTCGAGCGTTAATAAGCGGATTCTTTAGCTCAGGCAGGACCCAAGAGCGGAGGAGGAATATCGACTGTTTCTACCTGACCTACCTCACCGTGGAGGGAAACACTAGAACCGCAGTGTATCGATTTCAAGCGCGGGATTCCTAGCTGACACACTTTGAATCACATTGGATGCTGAACTTTTTAGAGATCGCGCGAGATCTAACCATTCGTGTTAATTCCAGTATTTTCTGAATAATACATCGAAATACGAGACTCCAGACGAATACACGCGTGCCTCTGATATTCTCGATATCTTCACATTTCTCGGTATAAAATATAATTGCTCGAGATTCGCCGCTTGAAACATATTTCAAGTACATTTGTACTTTCAACGCGTCTACGTCTCCGACGTTTTAACATCTCCCAACATGCTAACATTTCCAACGTATTAATTCTCGGCTAATTATAATCCAAGTGTCAGCAGTAGGTTAACAGCATTTCGAGATCCGAAGGACGCGTGGAAAACGCTTGCACAAGCGCAAGCGACGTACTGGTGAGATGGTAAACAATACATTGGCCGAAACGTGATTGTCCACGAACTGGGCCAATAGAACGGAGTCTACCTTCTTGCAAACTAGGAACAATCTAGGATTTTTAAAACGCTGCTTCGTTCTCTTGCTTCAAAACATTCGCCAGACGTTCACGAAATACAGATCGGCTGATCAATGATTCCTGGTTGAAGAATTTTCTTTCAACCGTGTTGCGTGCAAGTTTCACCCGCAAGCATCGCGTAATCTCATTTATATGCGGCACAGTCATGAAAAGCATTAGCAGCAGCTCGACGAAAAGAAGAAGTTTGAAAAGAACAATACGTTCGAAGCCTTGGTGCTTCATTGATGAGAATTCCTGCGACAGTCTTCTATTTTTAACAACCATGCAACTTCAATGACTCCTGCGTTGGTTATTTACGAGCTACGGGATTAGACTGATCGACAACCCATAAACCCTCGTGTCTCTGGTGGTTTCTTCAAAGGAAGATTTATCACAGACCACATGATCTCTCTGTGATCGGATATAATTGAATCCCCGCTGGAAATATACATCGAAGGAACAATGAGTGCGATTTATTTCGATTTATACGCGTAGGTAGGTGAACGAAATGATTAATAAAAAAAAAAAAAAAAAAAAAAAGAAAATATTAAGAAACGAGAATACTTAGCTCCACGTGATAATTACATCGATCAATATCTTCGAGTCGAATTTTATCACTCGGTGGCCCAATAAATGTTCTTTATCAAGAATCTTTAGGCCGTCTCGAATCACGCAGCAATCACGAGTTCGAGCTGTGTCGCGAGGATGAGCCAGAAAGAAAATAACGAGAGCTTCAGGAAGATCGCGACAGTATGTATGTAATTGCTTTAACGGCGAGTGTCTCAAGGCCAACCGGTAATTGAATGCAATTGCACGCATTTTGAAATAGATCTCGAGCCGAGACCGACACGACCCGCTGACCACATGAGCTGGCAAGCGAAGATTCGAAGTCGTAGAAAATTCATGTCAGTTTGTCAGTAAACAGAAAATGAAATTAATGTGATAGGGAATAGAGAAAGATAGAAAACTTAAGTAGTTGTATACGTAATTGCTCTGAATGGAGGAAAAAACGAGGTCACAGCTGAAGAAAAATCGGCTGTTAGGTTACGTGACCAGCCACATGTTTCTCTGATCCTTTGAAAATAATAATAAAAAAAAAAAAAGAAAACCTTACGTGCCATCAGTCGCATCAATCGACTTGCGTATCGTGACTAGGTCTCATTTCTTATCAAACCAATTTTAACTACTAATCTATTCCTGACTCATCCTTGCAAACTTCACTGCCTCTCCCCCCTCATTATAAATTATCGAACCCCTGCAGAGAGATCAGTATCTAAAACAATGATCTAGAGGTTGAAGTTCAACTTTCGCAGATAACGTTATCTGCTTTTCAATTATTTGTAATTACACGTCATAATCTTTGAACGCATTCATAATGGCTTGACGATATCCACGATATTATCAATGTTCAAGCATCAATTTCCATCCCGACAGATGACTTTCACGGCTTGTGCAAGCGTGCGGAAGTGTCTCGGAAGATATTCTAAATATGTACAGATCTCCGCCGAGGAGATTCGTCTCTGAACAGACGACAAGGGAATTATCAAATCCCCGAGTTATCGTGGATCGAATGTTGTTAGAAGAGATCAGAAAGCAGTCAGCGATTGGAACCAGTTATTTACGGCAGCTAATTCAGCCAGATAGCAAGCGAATGACGCGCGACGTGACCCCACTGAGCTTCTTATCAGCAGTCGCGTTGATTGTGTTCAGCGGGGAAAAAGAGGCGGACTCACGGCATTGTATTGGCTGGCCGGCCGATGCCTCGACTAGATCTTCGTGTATACGTCTATTTCTGTTGGCTTAGCTATTCGACCACGTTCTCGCGCTTCAGCTACTGCGTTACATTTCAATTTACGTGGCGCCGCGTCTTGCTCTTTAAAAGAGACAGCCTGCATCCAACGAGGAAGTGTTTTCGAAGTGCGTCTCAGAATTTGAAATGACACAGTGATTCCTAACGGACCTGGGTATTCTGATAATGCCTACTTGCCGTATATTAAATCGTCATTCTCTAACGCACGACACACTCGAGTAGTCTAACAAACGCTTTTCAATCATTCCTCCGGCTCTTTCGCTCGAGAGACACACATTACGTCACAGCAGTGGCTAAAATCAATCAGAATTGGAATGAAGCTGCAGCAGAGCCGACGAAGAAGAGAAACGCAACGGCCAACTTACCGGCGCAAAATGCGGAGAACACGTGCACGAGGGCGGTGTCCGGGGCGAAGATTGTGTTGAACGCGATTTTGCTTTTCGAGTAGGCACAGAAGTAAATGGCTCTGGACGGCGCCACCCCTACGAGATTAGGGCCCAATCCTTTGAACAGAGCCCTGGTACCCTCGTTCTGTACGATGTACCTGATGCATTGGTATACACTAGGTGCCGAGTGGCTGTGGGGGGTGCCTCCTGGAGTAGAGGACGCGCCAAAGTGAGAGAGGGCGATCAGAGCGTGCCTAGAATCAGTACAATGAACTTTGATTAACTACCTATACAACTACTATACAACTTCATTCGATTTCTTTTATATTTTGTTGTATAAGTAATTTTCCTCGTCGAATTTTAATTTGTAAGATTAGAAAGCTAAAGAGAGCTAAAAAAAAAAGTGATTGCGACGAGCAATTTTGTTGCAAAATAGGGCAAGCGTTTTGAAGTATCGAAAATTATAAGATAAGCTTGAGAAGGATGCTCTTGTCAGAGGTTTTTGGAATGAACAACGCGATACGTGCACTTGGGTCGTGGGCTTATTTTTAACCAGGTATGCCGCGAACGTAGGAGGTTAATCGGCCAGCTCTGGACCATCTCAGACGTGTCCAGAATACGTTTGAACGTCACGTAAAACTATTCTGCATCTCGTTTAATGACGCAATCATCGTTTCAAGGCGCATTGACAAAGCAAACAGGGTTTCAAACTGCAAACAGGGTTTACACAGTTGCTAACGTGCAACATAAAAAGAAATATAAGCTGGTTTTCTGGGAGGAAAACTGGTGCTTCTTATCTTCGAAACGTCGGCACTTTAATTTAAGCGTTAATCCGCTTTAAATTAATCTAAAAAAAAGCAGCAAGTTATCGATTTTATTTTCGTTGAATCGATGCAATTAGTTACACAGTCACCTCGTGTATCCTCCCGTGCACAGCCTTCTCCTTTGTTCCGGTTTCGGGAAACTTTTGCACGTCACGTGACCGGAAGTGAGCTCCTTGTTTACGGGGGGCGGATAGAATCCGGACGAGGAGGATTGCAAACGGGTTTTAACCACCTCCAAGGGGCAGGTAACTATCGCGCCAGCCGTCCCAGCCACTCTGTAAAATTTGAACATCCAATTACCAAGTAAAAAATGGAGATCGACGATCGTAACTGGGACTTTCAGCCTTTAGAGCAACAGCTCGCGATGATCGATCGACTTCTACGAATGAAAATTAATTGCAAACAAAGAGACACAAACAAATAGACACAAATACACAGAAACAAGTAAACAGTTGTTCCTCCTCGCTCGATGTATTTTACGACGAGAATGATGACAAATTGTGTTGTAGCATTATCGATACGGCTTTATCACCAGGACGTTAATATATTCGTTAATTGACACTTTACTTATTACGCAGATCAGCAGAAACGTCGTGCATACGCGGCAAGAAAAAAGAAAAAATTCGATCAAACGCAATTAACTAAGAACAAATCGAAACGAATGGAATAAGTAAGACTGGTATAAAGCGGTATATTATGTGATAAAATGACACGATGTCAATCGAGAGCTCTTTACACGATGAATTTAACAAATGACAAATCGTGTTCCAGAATTATCGACGCGTTTTCTCCGTTAGAACGTAAAGTACATTCCTAAGTTAAATGTTGCGTCAGAGTACGAAAATCTTTGCAACCTCCGGAGTGATCGATTTCGATCGAATCTGATGGATTCATGCAAGTGCGCCTTAGAAACGGCTTTCGGGGAGCCGTGCGCGTGTACTTCCGTCGTGAAAACATGCACTCCCCGTCGAAAAGCCGGTTATTATTATGGTGCGTATTATGCGATATACGCGAAGTTGCCTCGATCGCGCGGATGAAGGATCGAAGACACAGCGTCGTCGCGAGGGAATTCTCGTCGAAAATAATACCGCAGCTTCTAAATTGGGACGATGCGTGTACATCGTACACGGGAGCAGCGAGTCTCAGTGAATGACGTAATAATCGCGAGCCGGCGAACAACGTTCCACGGAGTTTCTCTTCTCGTCGCGTCTCTTCCGTAGAAATTCGTCTTAATGGAACATGCGTAGTCACCTCTGGCGTTATTAATAATTTTTACAGAGCCATTACAGAGAGTAAACCGCGCGTTCGTCTCCCGACCAAACAGGCTCGGTGTTTGCATGTCGAAACAACCGGTGTCATCATCAACGACGCGTGTTCCCTGTTCCAACCTCCTGTTCGGCAAACGCGCATATCGCGGCATTCCACGGAGTTGCAAATGAGGAAACAAATGGTAAAACCCACCCGCCGGCGACGAGGTGTATCGCGGTGTCGCGATCCAACATTCTTCCACTTTGGTCCTCTATGTCACTCCGAGATCATCAACTTCGAGGGAAGGAACAAGAAGAGACACAGATAAACAGGTTCACAAGCAGAGAACGCGGGGAAACCGCACACGGAGAAATTCGCCCGCGACGAGTTGTTTGTTTTTTCGATGGTAGATTCGTTCCTTCTCTCGGCGAGCAAATTGAGAAAGCGCCGACGACGATGACGAGAACCAACGACACGTTCGACACCTCGGCACAACACTGGTCCGCATTGATCGTAACAACCGTACCGCACGCCGTGTGCCACGGACTACTTCGAAGCTAGAGAGAGATCGTCGAATGTTTCACAAACGGGGCGACGTACAAAATGGCGGGAACTTTGTAATTTGAAATTCAAACGGCTATTCATGGAAACTGCTTGCCCTGCTGATTTCGACTCCGTTTCACCAAAAATTTGGAGACAACAAATTGCATTTATGAAGACTCATAACGATGTGACTGACAAGATGATTTTAAGAAGGAGGGGAAAATAAAAAGATTAATGAAATTTGGATAAAATGCGTACATGTTTTTATATCATAAAAAATAATATAGGATAAGCATTAAATAAATATATAATACTGAATATTGCGTTAGAAAAGTAAAAGGATAATTAAGACTCTGGAAAGAATACCTCTCAGAATCCCTCTTGCGTATTGTTCTCTTTTTCTCTCTCAATCGCCAAATGCATGGCTCTTAAAAATCGGCTTAACGTGCATTTTTTCGTTCTCAGGTGAAAAGCGTGAGCCAAGAACGGCATTTTTCTTAAAACTCGTCCGCTCAGCCCCATGCTCTCCTGACTAAGTTCCATTAACTTCAGACTATTTTTCGATTGAGACGTCTCCTCGTAGCCCATCTTTTTCAACATTGACAAATCGTAAATTTCTTCCGGTTCCATCAGTTTCGTCTGTAAGAAGTAAACTGAAATAGCATGCTTCAGAAACTAAAGAAAATATGGATATTTATTTACCCTCATTAATTCTTTGAGACAGGAAGCATAAATTTTGTATATAGCTTGATACGTTGGATGTCCAATGTATTGTTTTATATCGGCTCTGTCGACGAATGCCAAGTCAATGGCTTGCGACAAATTGCTGGTTGTTAGAATTAAGATATTTTGATATCGTTTTATTTGATCCAGCTGTGTCAATAGGGCATTCACTACTCTTATGGAGTCAGTGGGTTCCGTTCCATTGCTGCAGGACTTTCGTGCGTGCGCCAAGGATTCTACCTCGTCGATCAAAATGCAGACTAACGCTTGTGGATTTTCTAGAAGAGTTTTGATTTCACTGAACAATTTCATAACTAATTTACCACTCTGGAAATAACGATATCTTTCATTTCATTACCAGTTAATTAACATTATTTCTTCAATATACTATATTCATTGTGACGTACCTCTGAAAACCACTTTGAAAATAAACTGTGGCTGTTTATCTCTATTAGTTCACCATAAGCGAATCTGTTGCTTAAACGAATAATGGCCTTTTGAGCAAGTGCTTTGCACAAACTGGTTTTTCCTGTACCTGGTGGTCCGTACAGTAATACCACTTTATTCCAACTAATGATATTAGTGTCAACGTTATGGTCTGCAAATATCATTGCTGTTTCCACGAAATGAAGTAACTAAAGAAGAACAAAGAAACGTTTGGACTTTATAAAAAATTACGAGACTATTGTAAAAAGTTAAATGTATTCAACTAACATTTTCCTTTATGTTGGAGTCAAAATAAAGACTCTCCCACAGATGATGGAATTCTTGAGCCGGTAACATCCAATGGGAGGAAGCTGGGATGTCCTCGTCATCGTTTTTCATTGTCTCTATGGCTGCAGACTCCGTGGTCAATCTGTATACGTGAAACTTTAGAGTAGCTCCTTGTATTTTCATGTGACTTCTCTGTAACTATAAAATTCATACTGCTAACAACTCTTTGCACGCGATTGAGTTTATTTTTCAATTGTTACCTCTCCGTGACTGCAAGTACATATTATAGAATCAACGTGACTCTGTAAAGTGGAATTTTTCAGGTCTTTCCCATACATGATGGTGTCTAATGCAACATCGTCTAACATGTTTATTTCAGCATACGCTAAATCCTCTATTGCTTGTGTAGACAACATGCTAAAAATAAAAGAAAATATTACTATTTATAATGAATTAAAGAAAATATGATTAAAGAATAATGTAACTTCAATTGACAAATGAAAACTTCAACTGACAAATGTAATTAATTGTAAATTACAAAGGTACTACCTGTCGATATTTTGACAAATTTCCACGTGCAGAACGTCGGATCCCTCCATTCTATCTAGGCGCTTTTTTCGTTGACTTTTCCTTTAGAAATGATTGATTCAAACCTTTTTCGATACAGAGAAACACTAAGCTGTATATTCTAGAATAATCAACAATTTGAAATATAATTTGAAACTGAATAGGCAGGTGTTTCCAAACAA